ATGCTCTCAGTCGGAAGGTGAATCTTGAAAAGAAAAGGCCAAGAGCGTTGAGGATTGAAGTTGTCTCTACAATTATGGAAAGTATAAAGAAAGCTCAGGAGGAAGCTTTGGAGAAAAATGACCGGAAGGAGGAACGTTTGGGAAAAACGTTGGTGTTTGATACAAACGGTCAAGGATTGAAGGTATTCAAAGATAGGATTTGGGTACCTAAGACGGGAGGAGTAAGAGGTCTTCTGATGGAAGAAGCTCACAAAACCATGTACTCGATTCATCCCGGCAGTACGAAAATGTATAGGGATCTAAAACCCTATTACTGGTGGCCGACGATGAAGCTCGATGTTGCTCGAGTTTAGAACCTTTACCTGTACCCATGGGTAAATGGGAGGACATTACCATGGATTTTGTGACTAAGCTGCCCAAAACAAGGAACGGTCACGACATGATTTGGGTGGTCGTTGATTGCTTCACTAAGAGTGCGCATTTCATAGCCGCCAACAAGAAATGGTCTATGGATAAACTTGCGAATTCTTATGTGAAGGAAATTGTGAGGCTTCACGGTGTTCCGTTAATGATTGTATCTGATCGTGACAGCCGTTTTACCTCAAGGTTTTGGAGAAGTTTACAAGAGGAATTGGATACTAAGTTGTGTTTGAGTACAGCTTACCATCCGCAAACTGATGGTCAAAGCGAACTAACGATTCAAACATTGGAGGATATGCTGAGAGCATGTACCCTAGAATTCCAAGGTAACTGGGATGAACACTTACCTCTAGTAGAATTCACCTATAATAATAGTTTCCACTCAAGCATCAAGATGGCACCTTATCACGCTTTGTATGGAGAAAAGTGTCGAACGCCATCATGTTGGCTGGAAGCTGGGGAAAAGCAGTTTATGGGACCTGAAATAGTCCATCAGACTGCTGAAAAGTTGAAAGTGATAAGGGAAAGGATGTTAGCTGCTCAAGATCGTCAAAAGAGCTATGCTGACAAGATAAGACAACTGATATCCTTTGAAGTTGGAGATTCGGTTTTACTTAAAGTCTCGCCGTGGAAGGGGCTTATAAGATTTGGTAAAGGGGAAAGTTGAGTCCAAGGTTTATTGGACCATTTAAAGTTCTTCAGAGGATCGAGAATCAAGCTTACAAGCTAGAATTACCGGAAGAACTGGAGGGTATTCATAACACATTTCATGTGTGTTATTTGAGGAAGTTCACGGGAGATGTGCCCGACATAATTTCGATTTCTGAGTTAAGATTGGATGAAAACAAGAGTTGATTGAAGAACCTGAGGCAATCGTTGACCGTAAGACTATGAAGTTGTGACGCAAGATGGTTGATTTAGTGCTTGTGCGCTGGAAACATACGAATGAGCCAAATCTCACCTGGGAAACGGAGAGTGACATGATAAGTCGCTACCCGCAGTTGTTTGGTGATATGTGATTCCGGGGACGGAATCATCCTAAGGGGTGAGAATTGTAACACTCGTGTTTCTAGCCTAGGCATTAATCTTGATATGATAGTCTAGCTTAACCTTTGTAACTCATTTTGAAGAAATGAAAAAGGAATTATGTGAATTCTATGTGTTTTATGTGTTTTATGCTTAATTACTAGGAGTTAATTAATTAAGAATAAAAAAATGAGCGTCGAAAATAAATATTAGATAAAGCCGATATATATTAAGAAAGTTGTAGTGGTCATGACAAGGATTACGGATATATAAAGAACGCCGAAATTCGAGTTAACACGAAGAAGTTATGACCAGTCGAAGTTTCGCGACAAAACCGGCACGGTGCCGAATGACGTAAAAAGTGAGTTTTTGATAAACTACTTTTTAGCCTTAGTGATCTAAACGAAAGTCGTAGTGTTCGTTAAACTGAGAGTATGTATAAAAAGAACGCCTAAATCTGACTTCGTATGAGGAAGTTATGATTTTTCTAAGTTTCAGCTTAGTAGTAGACAGCTAAAAACTCGAATTTTAGATTGAGTGATTTTTAGCCGAGACGACCTAAACGAGAATCGAAGGTCTCGTAAATAGTAGCACAACGGTAAAAAGTCTGACGAAAACGGACGTCGGATGAAGAAGCTATGAATTTTTAACGGATTTTCTGTCCCGGTCTGTTAAAAATAATAATATAAAAATTAAATTCAAAATTAGCCAACGAAGTCTAAAGGAAAGTTGTAGAGCGTAATTTTAGCTACGCTTGCATATAAAGAACGTTAAAAACGGAGCCCGTATGCGAAAGTTATGGATTTTATAAGTTTTGCACAAAAAACCGAGAAAAAGCACAAAATCTGAGGAATTTCGCATGGCCCAACTTCGGCCACGTCACCCTTACCTCGCTGCGGACCCGTATCCAACGCTGATGACGAGTCCGAAGCGTGGCCCAGTCAGAGACCGACGCGTGTCGCATAGGTGGCCTGTCCGAAGCGAGCCACGTCTCGCCTACAAGCTTCCGACGAGCCCTTCGCATCTGAGCCACCTCCGACCCTCGCAGCTGCTGCGTGGAGCCTTCTCAGCCATTCAAACTTCGGTCTCGCACCCTATAAATAGGGGGGTTGCGAGATCTCCCGGCTAATTGGAAAATTGCCACTTTTCACCCCTTAAACAATATTTTTATCATTTTGACTTTCCCCGAAGCCCCGGTATCATTTTCAACACCCGAAACACGTTCCGAAGTGTCCGGAGACCTGAAAAATTTTGTCTTTTCGGTTTCGAAGCCCGACCCTCGCAGAGCCCGGTTTCTGAATAAAACTCCCGGTTTTATTAGAAACGAACGTTTTAGGAAACGAATTGCTGCCCGATTATCATCAAATCATGTGAGTGTGTAGTTACTTTCAATTTACACATAGATATGAAGTATTTACCTTAAAATATGTGTTATGTGTAAATATATTAATTGTTTATTTGAGGTGACTGTTGAATTGATGTTTTATACAAGTTTTAAACTGTATTTGTATTTTATCTACAAATATGTTGGGTAGAACATGGGTAGACAAAATAGTCGGTGGGTGTTAAAATGATGAGAGGCCTCGGTGCTGGTGTTGTTGTTGTTGTAATTGGTGAAGTCGTCTAACGGAGTATAGATGACGACCACGGACCTTTCTAGACAGTCTAGTGGTACACTAGCAGGTTCGCAACTTGTAGGTGTTGATGAACTAAATGTTCATTAGTGTACTCCAATCCCCCTCATGGTTGCCTTTAGGACACGTTTGGCTGAGGAGTCCCCTTAGCAGTAGTGTCCAACCCGATGATATTCCTTTGGCTAAGTCCCTTGTGTTAGGTGTTTAGGGACGTAAAGTGAGGACAACGAGAATGGGTAATCAGGGTTATTGTTGATTGGTGAACTTAATAAGTTATTATTATTGTGGGTTGAAAACCCTATATGCTCAACAGGCTCCCAAGCCTGACCCACTCAGTTTCATGTATTACAGGTAGTGGCGCTCGAGCATAGATGTGATGTTTTGGATGAGGGATTACGGATATAGGCCTGTAGATATGAAATAATGTAGTAAGGCTTATATTGTACTGTTTATGCTTTTGATCTGTATCGAACATGACATCCCGAGTCTTTTAATGAAATACATTTCCTTGGAAATGTTTTTGATAAATCTTTATCATATTTTGTTTTGGGACAAATTCCGCAACATTTTTATTTAAAATGTTGCTCTGATTTTCAAACAAGCATAAACAAAATCGGTCTTTTTTGGCTGTGAAAATGGAGATGTCACAATTTAGTAATTATATACGTCTGTCTTCCCATGTGGGAGTTGCAGACACAAGTTTGAAGGCATTGCAAGTATAAATGCAATGAAGACAAACACAATTTGAAAAGCAATTGGCAACTTATATGTGAAAATTCATTAACCTCCAAGTAATCCACCAAATGATTCTTTGTTTTTATATTTTAAACACTTAGTAATGTATTTGGTATTTTGAATCTATAGACGATGTTTATTGTAATGCTTATTTTTAGAAAATGATGTTTTTTGTAATGCGTTAAAGACTTAGTAATTTATTTTACATTTTGTAGTTTAATGTAATGAATTTTTACTTCATTTTGGCTAGAATTAACTGTTTTTTGTTTTTAAATTTTTACTGTTTTCTTAAAAGGCATCACCGACGGAAATATCCATCGCTAAAGTGCCATCAGAAATCAATCGGTAAATTGGTCAAACTTGCTTCCTTCGCTATTCTGTAGATATTCCGTTGTTGATTTTATCCCGTCAATTAATTACCGATGGATTTGGTCGTCTATAATCCATCAGTAAAAATTACCCACCAGCAAATATGCTACGACGTGAATTCCGTCAGTATTGACCATTACCTACGAAATACCTACAGATTCTTCCTTAGGTATATCGTGATTTTCTAGTAGTGACATAGTTGTGTTTTTCTCTTACGTGTATGATATTGTATATATCCCTACAGATTTGTGTTTTTACCAAGTGTATCCTCAGGAACATTGGTTTTTCATAGATGCTGATCAAAGATTATCATTGTATCAAGAGGATTGCTATTTACCGGATCCACAAACATTGTGTGTGGTCAAATACTCAAATTGGTGTTGTCAATGAAGATCGTTTTGTATCGTTCCTCAGTAGTTTATTTATTTAATTTATATTTTTTTTGAATGGTCATGTTAGTAGTTGTTAACTCCTAGTTAGAAAACTCCTATTTAAACACTTTGTTAACTAAGTGGGCTAGTTCCAACTTTGTTGGTGGGTTATTTCTTCTGATTCGCCAACTAGTGAGTATGAAGATTAAAGAAAAGTCACAACCATTGAATGAATCATGTGAGAAATAATGATATATTCTTAGATATTTCAGTCATCGCAAAAATAATTCCTATGGCCGGTCAATAATAAGCACCACATGTTTTGATATTCAATGCGTGTGTTTGACTTTGAGCCCGTGGTGTATTTCTTAGTAGGTTCCTTGAATGATCAAACGCACCATTATATATACAAGAAACCTACTTACGTTTTGTGGTATTAGTTAGTCGTTGTTCTTAACAAAAATGAGGTTAGTTGATCAAGCTTACTTCTTACTCATCTTCCTTACACTCACTGCAACATCAACATTAGCTCAGAAATACGCTAGGTATGGATGCCAAGATATGTGCGGGGACGTGAGGATTCCATACCCTTTTGGCATCGGACCAAGTTGTTCTGTCAACGAATGGTACACTGTTGATTGCAACTCCTCGATGCCATATCTATCTGCACTACACAACCTGGAGGTATTGGACATTAACTTGAAAAACCAAACTGTAACTGTTAATGTTTCCATGATCTCTGATTGCCAGAATCTTGTCCGTAATAGCACTCAAATCTTGAACGTCGATCTTGGTAACAGTCCATATCTGTTTTCCAGAGTACATAACACATTTGTTGTAGAGGGGTGTGGTAACGCTGTCATCTTGGACCATGGGTCTGCAGTCACTGGTTGTTCATCGACATGTGGCAATGGCACTGTTGGTGACAAAGACAAGTGCCTTGGCGTCAGTTGTTGCCAAACGGTAATTCCTAATTATCTTAAGTCCTACAGCATCGATCTCACGGGTTTGGAAAGGCAGGGAGGAGATGGAGCTTGTGGGTCTGCTTTCTTGGTGCATAAGAGTTCATATGATGAAGGAAGGTTTTCTGGGCAATCTGTTGCAGGGGACAACTCTTATGTTCCGATATCACTTCTGTGGACTTTATCAGACCATGATTCGGTAAAATTAATGTGTTGTAATGGGCGGGAAGTTAGAGTCAAACTTGATCTTGGTAATGGTACTTCAGTCGAGTCGTGGAAATGCAGAATCACTTTGCCACTAGAAGGAAACCCTTATTTAAATGATGGATGTGTTGGTAAGTATTGTTTTTGCTATTTATTAGTTTATTTACTATTACTATGCGTGCTTTTCCAGCATACTTATTTAGCGCATTTTTATTAACATCGTTGCTTCTCTTATATGACATGCTTTTAGTGACAGAAGAATGTTCAAGGTGCCGGGCTAATAATAGTTATTGTGACTACGATGAAATATATGATGATCATGACCGTGTTAGCGAATGGAACATCACTTGTTCTCCCATTCAAGATACTCTCCCCGGTTCTAAAAGTAGATCATCCGTAGGTGTTATTCTAGGTAATGCCTCTCGTTAACCAGCTATTCAAATTCATTATTTTCAATATACATAACTTTTAAAAGTTTACAACATACATGGGTTCATAACTTCATATATAGTTTTCATATTATTTTATAATAAATAACTAAAAAAATTATTTATTTATTTGTAAATATAACTAGATATCCAACTTAATTACACATACATATACAGGAAATATTAATTTAGGCAAATAGATTAAAAATATCCTTTTAGAAAAATCAACAACGAAAAGTCATGTGGAACTTCAACATTAATTTTATTTTTCAATAATTTATGCAAAAACATTAAATAATCATCCAAAATAACATCCACCGATAATATGTTAAAGGTGACGCTCATAATATCATCTCCTCAATCAATGAGATGTATAAATTTAGGGGTAGAACTAGATATATGTATGAGTTACCATTATAAAAGGAAAACCACAAATTAAAGGGAGAAAGGAACGGATGCCTGTCTCCTTGGTAGGGTAAAGAGAAAATGAAATAAGAGTAAATTACACGAATGATCCTTATGGTTTAGGCTAATTTGTACGTTTGGTCCATAACTTATTTCTCAACTCGGAAGGTCGTTATTGTTTGTTTTTGTTATGCATTTGGTCTTTGTCTTACCTAAAAAGACTATTTTTCCGACGATTTTTTAATTTATTTAAATAAACACACTCCCAACCCCACCTCTGTCACTTTACCTTATCCACCTCACCATTTTTCAATATTTAAGTAATAGTCATTTTAGGTAACATAGAGACTAAGCGTGTAACAAAAACAAACAGTAGAGACCAAGTGTGTAACAAAAATAAATAGCAGAGACCTTCCGAATTAAAAAAATAAGTTACAGACCAAACATGCAAATTACCTAAACCATAGGGGCCATTCGTCTAATTTACTCATGAAATAAAATATTTTTTTTTAATGGTGATCAAGATGTATTAGCACAATAAATCACCTAAGTGGCCATGTCCGACTAAATTATTAAATTTAGATTTAGATTTAATCCAATTAAAAGTATTTAAGAACATCCCCGACCAATCCCAAAAACTATATTATTGAGAATTTGAGTAATCTAATCCTTATAAACGATTTTTTTAACAAATGTGACCATAATATTTTTTTTTTGGTAAAGTAACTACATTCTCCGAAACACATTATTCCAGAGAGGCCTCCGGAATTCTAGAGTACGATTCCGGACCATGGTTCCAGAATAGATTTGACTTTTTTATTTTATTTATTTATTTATTTTTTCATGCAAGTTTTGCTTTCATAAAATGTATAAGCTTTGCTTTAATATAATGTATAATTTTTGGTTTTATAAAATATAAATGCAATTAAAATGAACAAACAACTAATAAGGATGTAGGTCATATTACAAATACAATGTTTAAATTATCTTTGTCATTGTACCCTAAAATATTTCCGCTAGTCGTTTTCTATAACCTATAGCCCATGAACCGACGGTTTTACCCTCTATAGAGATCGATTTGCCGGTGATCAACGCCTCTAGGAACCAATACAAAAACACCTCACAATCACGTTGGTGTCAATCTGTTGTGGTACGTCTGGGGCCTTTTCGAGTGTCACATTGAAGCTCTCAAATGAGATTGAATAGTTGGTTCAGTACCCCAGTAGTTGACTCTCACTAGATGTTTGCGGATGCGGGCTCTCAGACCTATAAACCAATCCTTATTTTCCAAACAGTAGCCACCCTTCAAATGACTATCGTATATAGTCATTTTGAATGTCTTCAAATTCAAAGAACCCAAAAACCAGTGAGCTTGTGGTATGTTGATTGGGATTTAAAGCTACAAAAAATGGTTAGAAATAATTAATTAGTATACAAATACTCAGGTAATATAATCCAAACAAAATTATACTGTATCACACTCTGTCCAAGCTGAGTAAACGAATATGTCATCCATGTCACTCCAGTCATATGTATCATTATTGAAAGTTGACGACACAACCGTCCACTGAGCATCAACCGCTCTACGCCTTAGAAACTATGAGATCCACATCAAGATGTGCTGTCAATTTTTTTTTCAGTAAAGTAACTATTATTATTAGAAGCATAGTATGTAATAAGAAAATAATTATATTACTTACATCACATGACAACCATCATCCATGACTATCCGCATATAACGGTGTCCAAAACTCAAACGTAGCAAACCCGGTGAAATAATTTTGACCAAACAATAGTAAAGCATCTCGTTCTTTATATACATTGTGTACTGTAGGATCTACAATATTGTCCAATGGTTCTTGTTGTTGCCATCTAACACCTTTCCTGTTCATTTGTATCAATGGTGACTTATACCATATGGACAGAGGTTTTTGGCATTTAAAACGCCTAATATGTGCTTGTTCTAGTGTTTTGTATTCATCCTTCGGAATCTCTATTACATCCAACGAGCGAATAACCAGAGACGGCTGCTCAGGGCCGACATTCAACGGTTATTGAGGGCAGTCATTACGTGGTTGTTCAAGGCTGACATTCAACGACTTTTTAGGGGTGCTTAATACATAATAATGCTCACATAACTCATTGTCATTGTAGCATCCGTGTACGGTTGAATAATGTATACTTGTAAGCAATAAAAAAACATAACGACCATAAACGATGAAATAATTAAAAATGTACGTCCATCCCTTCTAGGTACCAACATCGTCTTCGGGAGTCGTATTGATAAGTTTAAGAACCATGAGTAAAGTAGCCTCATGTTTTGCTAAACGCTCCTCCTAAGATCGCAACTGCTCACGACATTCACAGACCTCATTTTTCAATTGACCAACCTCGTTCTGCAAGTCACTAATAATTTTTCAATTGCTAAACGCTCATTTTTCATATGACCGACCCTAACTACTCTGCTAAACCTATTTACGAACCTTTTTCTTAATTCAACACAAAATATGTTCTTACAAAAGCTAAATGAAGATACTCTATTGGTTAATTAATATAATGTGTTTAATTAATGTAAGACCAATGCTTTTTTGTTTCACTTGCGGCTTCATTCAGGTGTTACCATAAGCTTCGGTGTACTTTTCCTTGTGGGAAGCAGCTTTTCCTTGTTCAAAGTGATCAAGAAAACAAAGGCTAGGAGACAGAGAAAGAGGTTTTTTAAGCGGAATGGTGGTTTACTTCTAAAACAACAAGAAGAAGCCGATCCATCTTTAGTTGATAAAACTATACTTTTCACATCACGCGAGTTGGAGAAAGCTACTGACTCCTTCAATGAAAATAGAATTCTCGGGCGTGGAGGCCAAGGTACCGTATATAAAGGGATGTTGGTGGACGGAAGGATTGTAGCAGTGAAGAAATCAAAACTAGTTGATGAAAGTCAATTAGAGCAGTTCATCAATGAGGTGGTCATTCTTTCCCAAGTCGATCATAGAAATGTGGTGAAGCTATTAGGATGTTGCTTAGAGACAGAGGTTCCTTTGTTAGTTTCCGAATTCATTTCAAATGGGACTTTGTACGACAGGATACACAATGAGAGAAATGAGTTCCCAATTTCTTTCAACATGAGATTACAAATTGCTACCGAGGTTGCCGGAGCACTTGCCTACTTACATTCTGCAACTTCCATACCAATATACCATCGGGATATCAAAACCACTAATATACTTTTGGATGAAAAATACAGGGCCAAAGTATCAGATTTTGGAACTTCAAGGTTCGTATCAATAGATCAAACTCATTTGACTACGTTAGTCAAAGGTACTTTCGGCTACCTAGATCCTGAGTACTTCCAGTCGAGTCAATTCACTGAAAAGAGTGATGTGTATAGTTTTGGAGTTGTTTTAGTTGAACTCTTGACGGGTGAAAAGCCAATTTCCTTAACTAGATTTGGTGAAAATAGAAGTTTGGCGGTGCATTTCATGTTGGCTATGGAAGAAGGGCGTGTTATTTCTATTTTTGATGCAAATGTGATTAAAGAAAGTACCAAAGATGAGCTCTTCGTATTAGCAAATCTTGCAATGCGATGCTTGAATATGAATGGTAAAAATAGGCCTACAATGAAAGAAGTAGCAATAGAGTTAGAAACGATAAGAACATCACACATTCCCTCTTTGGTTGAAACTAATACCAGACAGGTTGTGTACGAGGAGGACTTTTCAATGCTAAGTTACGGCGAATCAACATCAACATTTTGAGTTCCGATTATAATAGTAGTAGTTAGTCACAAAAGGTTAGCCATTAGTGTTTAATTTTCCTATATTTAAATGTATGCATGTAATATATGTGGATGCGTATATAAGGACTCTCACGGCAATTGCGTACATTATTGTATATTTTTCTACGAGTTTTATTTTCCAAGTATTCAATCTAGCTATTTGAATTGTAATTTGATGATTTCAAGTTCAAGACATACACCAATATTCAGGGCATAGACTTAGTTTATGTGTAATCGTTGTGCCACTTCATCGACAAAAAAGCAGGGCCGGCCCATGGGCCTGGGCAAGCTGGGCGACCGCCCCGGGCCCCCAAACGCCAAAAGGCCCCATATTTATACCTGTTATTGGGTTATATTAGTCGCAACCCATATTTTTTAAGCCTATATTAATGACAGCCCATATTGTTTGGACCAATATTAACATTTGC